GGGAGGGAGGGGAGGAGCAGAGAAAGGGGCGCGGGGGAGACTGTGTGGCTGAGTGGTAGAGCACTTGCCCAGCATGTGTGAAACCCTGGGTTCAATCCACAGCATCGTGAGTAAAAGGGGGGGGTAAATAAAAATAGGCCCCTCACACTGTTGTGAGGCCAGATGCACATGGAGCCCTTAGCACAGTAAGGGTTTAACAATATAAAAAGAAACAAATCTGCCTGTGAACTCATGGTAAGGGAGAGAGGAAGACATTTATACCCAGAACTGGTAAGGAAAATATTCACTAATTGTATTCATTGCCATGTGATGGCGATAGAAACTTAAAAAGCCAGAATTAACTTTACTGGTTCCTTAGGTTTGCAAGAGTATATTTTTCTCCTCTTGCTACTTTACCTCCCCACATTTCCATATTTCCCTATTGATGAACAGTGCGACTGGTTTGGCATTTGCATCTGAGTCAGCAGCACTAGTGATCAAAAGCCGCCCTGGGGAACATGGATCCCGTTCATTCTCAGGGGGAGGGACACATGTTCCTGCCATCTGAGCCTCTGAGGAAGGGCAGCAAATCCAGCATTCAGGAGAGGTAGGGGGACACAGAGGGCTTTGGGTTTGAGCATTTCACTATTGGAGCCACACTACCGATGGCAAGAGTGGTGGCCAGGTGTGATTTAGCTGTGTCTCCACACCTGGGGGTGTCACAGTGGTCCAGGAGTACACCCACTTTAGGTTTTGCTGCTGTCCACTTTCAAGACACGGGGTTCAGGCTCCTGATCCTGAGCTGGTCCGAGTGCCTGCAAACAAGCCATCAGTTTTGTGCTCATGGTCTCTGAGGGAGCACAGGATTTCAAAAGAAATCACCAGATGAGAAATCACGGGGGTTGTTTCATTAGTTGATGGTTTGGATTGTGTCCAGCCATGGTTCCCACTGGTGGGGGAGCGGGAATAGCAGAGCTTTAACATTCGTAGACTGCCTCGCCACCTCTCCTAGATCAGGAAGACATAAAAATCCAATGTCATCTTCAATTTCTGCCAAGTCCCCTTGGAGCTGTAGGGCTGGCGGAGGGAAGCAGAACACTTCAGACACCCAGGGAAGTGATAAATCTCAGGGAGAGAGTGAACATGCGTGAAAGGTATCTCCCACCATTAAAACAAGTGGCCAGAGCCTCCCCAGCGACCTCCGGAGTACATTGCAGGCTCGAAGGTTGTGTATAATGTGGGGTTCATCTGTCCAGATCTCTCTATGACCCGGTGGACCGAGCATCTCTGCTTACTTTAGAAACCAGGCGTCATCTGCTAGAACATCCTCAGCCGTGACATAGTCGTGACAAGGCGGCACACTGGCCCCTCAGCTCTGGAAACTTCATTTGCATTTGAGGAGAGAGAAGAAAGAAACATTGGGACTGGAATTGGGAGCAGCAGCCAGACCGGATGTGGACACAGAACACGCAGAAGAAACTGCGCTGGCCTCCCAAACTCTTCTTCTTGCCTCTTAGGCCCTGTGGAAGCAGACTGAAGGCCCTGGGGGCCACAGGCGGTCTTAGGAGTGCTCCCTTCAGATGTGCCAGCATGGGCTCCTGACTGAAAGTCATTCTTGATCCGCGTGCACGGTCTCTGAGTGTCTCGTAACTGTTGAGGGCTTACAGCTTCCTTGCTTGCTTGTGGCAACTCTCTGGATAGCAGATTGACTAGACTCAATCCTGGTTTTGTTTGGGAGACTTTACCTAGTCAAGCGGTTGGGAGATGTCAAGCCTACCAACCCTGCCTTGCCGGCCTAGGATGTTTTATGACTTTTTGGAAGTACCTGCGGCCATTATTGGGCCTTATTTGATGCAGTAAAACATCCCATTTGGCCTCTGGGCTCTGAAAATATGTTTCACTGCTGCTCTCCATGGGCATCTGATTTGTTGCTGCAACAGTGGGAGGAAAGAGCGGGGATACAAACTCATTCTGCAGGCTCGGGGGTTTGTTCTTATGAGTCCTGCCGTGATTTCTCTTCTGAGGTTGGCAGTTTAGATGTGACATCAGTATACCCGGACCTCTTTCCTAAGGCTCTACTCAGAGTGTTCAGTCCCCACCTGCCCAGTGAGGTGAATCAGGCCAATTAGACCGTTTGTCGGGTGGAGGGACGGAATAGCAGAAGGCCCTGCCAGCATCACAGGGACGGCTGGAGACATAGGCAGACATTTCCAGGCGTCTTCTGCTGCTTTAAGTCCCAAAGGATTAATACACAAAAGGGACCCTGAGCGGATTTCTCTCTGGAGCTAATACCAAATTGGATTTGTTCGTTGGGATGGATGTGGCCTTTCATTCTACCTCTGGTTAGGGAAAAGTGCGTGGACAGCTCTCTTCCCGTGCACATGGCCAGATGGCATTTGGGTGCAAGCTGTCACTAGCGAGACTGCAGAAGAGCTTAATCTGGCCACTTTACAGCAGCGACCCCCCCACTAGCCCTTCCGCCGCAGCTCCAGTGTGGAAGGGGGAATGTTTATCACACCCCGAACCAGAGATTATGTTGGAATTTGCCGCTCCTGGATTTGGCTGTCACCTTCCTGCTCCAGAGTCTGCTTCCTCCGTAGGGATCCTGGAACCAGAGAATCTGCGTGCCCTTTTGCATCTCCTCCCTCCCCCGCTCCTTCGTCTTCAATGTGTAGTGGCAGAGAGGAAGTGTAACATGATTTTAGGGCTTGCATTTCAATTCCACTGCATTTTTATGGGACAAGCAGAGTCTCAGCTCCAGGAGTTATTAGGTTAGTATCTAAAATGGGTTCAGCATTGTGGGCCTTACTGTTTATAATGAATTATCCCGCCCCCTCCTTTCTCCTCCCCTGGGGTGAGTACATCGAGGCAAGGCCCCCAGAGACTAGTTGAAGGAATCCTGGCGCTCTGATTAGTTTTGTTCTCTCAGTTTAATTGTAGAGCTTCCTTTCTCTCACCACTGATAGCCGAAGCGGTTCTGTGTCCTGCCTGCCCCTCCACCCTCTTTTGCTTTAGGAACAAGATTATCACAATGCGGCCTTTTGAATCAATTTTCTCTCTTGCTGATGAAAGTGTAATTCATTCTTAATCAAGCAGCCTTGCTGCTGCAGGCTCTGTGCCGGAATACATTTAGTCACCCTCTCACCACTTTGGGAAACAATCCCCCCCGAAAGGACTTTTAGAGGAGAGCTGGACTAGGAGAGCAGGCAGCCTGCCTCGCTCGGCGGGTTTCCAGCAGGGGGCGCTCTTAGGAGTGATGTTGGAAGAACCTCGGTAGCGCGAAGCTGTCGGTGCGGGCCACAGGTAGAGGAACCTTGCCACAGGTGCTTTACAGGCTTTCTGTCTCCAGGCCCTGGGTCCGTTTCTCCAGAACATCTGGTTGGGCTTCTGTCACCTCGCAGTGAGCTGGAGCCAGCCACATCTGCATGTATGCCCGGATTAGGGGTCCCCAGTTGGGTACCACCTCTTCTTTCAGGGTACAGAGGAGCCACTGTCTTTCTGAACAGATGGAATTGAATCTGAACCAGTTAGACTGGCGGCTGTGGCCGTTTCTGTCACATCAAACACATTTTGGGGAACAGGAGATGGCCTGCCTCTGCCGAGTGGCTTCCTCTCCTGCCTGCCTACCGCCTGGTGGCTGTCACAAGCAAGTAGCCGGTTGATAGAGGAGTGGGGGGAGGAAAGGTGACTTTGCCAGGGCTGGAGTCTGTTGATGCTGGGCAGGAAGGAGGAGCCAGGCCCTGGAAAGAGGATTGCAGGGCCCTTAAGATAAAAACAAAGCCTTATAGATCAGCTGCTGAGAAAGAAAAGGAAGTCGGTCTGGTCTCTTCAGAATGGAATTGGATTAGTGACAGACTTGAACAGCCGGTTCAGTCAAGAGAGAACTTAATTCCTCCTATATTATTCACACGGCTCATCCTAATCAGATGTGAAGAGACAGCTGGAAGAGAACAGTGGGTCAGCCCAGTGCCTGGTGAGGAGACTTCATGTTCTTTTTGCCGTCTTTAGGAACTAGAAAGAGCACTTTGGGTTGGGCATTTTAAGCAGGGCTCTTGTGGTTTACTGGCTTCCCAAAGGAGCTAGGCTGACTGCCAGGACTCTCGTGGTTGGTCTTCTCTGGATTCAGTGTGAGTTCTTGTCTTAGTTACTTTCTCATTGCTGGGACAAAATACCTGACACAAGTTTTTAAAAAAAAGGATGGTTTAGGCCAGGCATGGTGGCACATGCCTGTAATCCCAGCACTCGGGAGGCTGAGGCAGGAGGATCGCTGTGAGTTCAAGACCAGCCTGGACTGCAAAGTGAGTTCCGGGTCAGTCTCAACTACATAGTGAGACCCTGTCTCCAAAAAAAGGATGATTTATTTTAGCCCATAGATTTAAGAGGTTTCAGTCCCTAGTTAGCTAGTTTCAAGACAGGGCAGCATGGCAGAGGAGAAATAGTTCATGGTGTGGTGGGCAGAAGGCAGCAAGCCTTCCTCTTTCCCTTTTTATTCCATCCAGGCTACTAGCCTATTGGTCGATGCCGTCCATACCCAGGAGGGGGTCTTCCTCAACAAATCCATCATCCACATTCACAATGATGCTGAACTAATGAGTGGACTAATCCAGCACCACACCCATCACCCAGTCGCTCCCAAAAGCCCCACCTACGAGTACATGAGGCTTCGGGAGGACGTTGAGATGTAAGCCATAACGGTTCTGAAGGACAGTGTGGTCACCAGTCACGTTCAGCAGAGCTCTACCCACTTGTCTACAGAGGGACCCACAGGAAGTCTGCCAGACCAGAGCAGAGATGACACCGCCACTGTCTGAGAGGCCCCGGCAGTATGTCCACATCCTGAGCCTCTTCAGTTTCGACGCCCGCTGAAATGTAATTTATTTGGGATCACTCCCTCCTGTACAAAGCTGGAGAGAGGGCAGGCCATTGCTAGAAGGAGCACAACCATTGGAATTCCTGTGGTGGAGGGGACTCCCTGGGTGCTTTCAGTTCTGGGCTTACAGGGTGACGTGGGACTCGGTTAGGGCCTTAGTGGGGTCATCTCCGTGGTACTTTCTGGCTGTGGCAAGCGGAGGTGTCACTGTGCTGTGCAGCGAGAGCCAGGTCAGTCCCCGAGCAGCAAACAGACCAAGTGTTGAGCTCATGCTCCTTAGGCTACAGAGAATCACAGGGAAACCAGGAAGCTTGTTAGCTGATTTTCATGAGTGGAAGAAGGCCCCATAGAAGCAGTTTATTTTACGAAGGGCTGGCTTAGTGCCATTTCCTCTGAGCCTTCACCTTTTCCTTCCTGTCGACAGCAGTGAGTGCTATAAATAGGACAGCAAGCTTTGTAGCATGGGCCCTACCTGTTCCACATATAGCAGGTGGCAGTGGGTCCCCCAGCTAAGGGGAGCCTGCCCACTGGTATGCCCAGCTCTCTAGAAAACCTCCTTCCCAGGGCCGAGCAGGTCCCCCGAGCTCCCACCTGAAGGAGTGAGAGTGAAGCCTGAGTCTCCTTGAAGGCCTTCCTGTCGCTGCCTGCCTTCCCTCTGCTCTCCAGCACAAACTGCCTCATGTCCTGCCCGGAGGAGAGCACGTGATATCTGCGGTGAAGGGCGCACAGGGCACGGTGGCCACTAGCAGGGTTCCAGCAGCGAGAAGTACGTTTATGTGGTGAATTCCTCAGATGTCAGCTTGCAGATGGAATTAGAAGTGCCAGGAACTGTGCAGGGAGGGTGGAGACAGCCGTGTCTGCCTGTGGGCCGGGCGTGACCACGGGAGGCTCCCAGAGTCCTTGGTCAGCAGCCGTCACTGACCACTGCAGCCAGGACTCAGCTGCCTGCCTCTGCCCAGGGGTCTGAAGGCTTTGGGCCTCTGGAGGACTGGGGAATATCGGATTTCCTCCAAGACTTCCCTTTCCTTTGGGCTAAGGTCAAACTCCTGCTCTAGCAAGAGAAGACAAGAAGACGTTGGGCTGAACCCTGGAGCGCAGTGGGGGTTGGGAAGCGCCCCACCTGCCGAAGAGAGCTTTGCATCCTGACAAGCACATGTTTGAGGAACTGGAATCTGGCGCTGCCACAGCCCTCCCTTGGCACCTCGAGGGGACAGCCAGCACACTCCTCAAATAGAGGATCCAGGAATCCTTGGAGCCAACGTCGTGTAAATGGGCAGGAGGCTCTCACGGGCCCCCAGTGTGGGCTCCCTGCCTGGGGAAGTGGCCGGGCCTCTTAGGGCAGCGCCTGCCCTGCTCAAAGGCCAGCACAGCACATGACCCTGCTTTTGCCCACATCCCTTCCAAACAGTCACTCTGCTCCGCTCCCCCTGGAAGGAGAACAGCCAGAGTTGGTGGGGGGAAGAGACGTGACGCCGCTATTAGTAATAACAGCTGCTGGGTTCTCGGCGTGCGCCAGGCACAGTGCCGAGCACCGCTCACACTTTTCCGAGTTCCTCTGCATGTACCCCGCGGGAGACAGGGTACCCTCTCCCTGACTTCACGGTGAAGAGCTGAGGCCAGAGGGTGTGAGTAACTTGCCCAGGGCCACCCGGCTGGTCGTTGCACCGGATGAGCGTTGGATCCGGGGTCCTTGCATCTGACTCAAAGTGGCTGTGGGCATGGCCCTGTCCCCTGAGGAGCCTCTTGAAGTCTCTTGGGGGCGGGGGACCTTAGCAGAAACATGGGTTGTGTGTGCCTTCTGGTTTAAACCCTTCCCAGAGAGGACTTTTGTCTCGGAAGATCTCAGGCAGCTGAGTGTCTGTCTTCCCAGGTTATCCGGGTCCGCATTATCACAGGGCACGTGACTGCTGGCCCTTCTCTGGGCATGGAGAAAGCCCATCCGAATCCAGCTCCTTTCTAGCAGGAGTTCGGAGTTAGCAAAGGAAAGCTCTGCATTCCCACTGGAATGGGCTCCACTGCAGGGAACAGCTCGGATTGCCTCCCTGCATTCCGCTTGTTAGCTGGGAACTTCAAGGCCGAAAGATCTGGCAGGATTTAAAGAGTCAGCTCTCAAGCTGTCTCATTTTGAGCATGCTAATGCTTGCCTGTCTTTTGATGGTGAAGTGGTCGCTTTAGAGTCTCCCTCCCTGGCCTTTGCAGAGGTGTACAGAGTGCCGAGAACACTGCAGAGGCAGAGGCTCAATCTGAATTCTGAGGCTGGGGGAAGGACCAGACCAGATGGCCTGCCCTGTGGTTTCTCTCTAGAGGAGAGGCTCCAGAGGTCAGGGGTGTTCGGTGAGGCCGCCAGTGAGCTGTGGACGGAGCAGAGCGGTCTCCCAGTGTGGAGTTCCTGTCGTTCCCCCGCGTCTCTCTCACCATTTGGTTACAGTATAGGCCACGTCCCGTTCACTCAACAAACCAGATCTGTTCCTCCTGGGTACCAGGCACTAAGATAAATGTGGGGATTAAGAGGAGTGTGGACTCCTCTACAGAGTTAGAGCAGAGCAGGGAGCAGGGCAGCAGAGGGCGCCTGTGCCAGATGCTTCTACTGGGAAAAGCTAGGACGAGCCCCAGAGTCGGGGACTTAGGAAGCACACACTGCCACACCCAGGATTGGCCTCCGACCCACCCCTCTGCTGCCAAACCTTCCTGACCCTGACCCCTCAGGCAGTACCCTTCCTGCAGTGGCTGCCCATGAACTGCCCATGAACACTCATTCTCCCCCTGAATGTAGCCAGTTGTCTCCCAGCTCGTGGAGAGAAACCCTCTCAGCTGCGGGATCACGGGCAGGTCTGCTTTGGGGACACTCGGGGAACCAGGAGCACAAGGGACAAGCTTGTCCTCTTCTGACATACCTGCCGTTCTGCTCAAGGCATGAGGGCTGAGACACTTGCCCATAGCTCCTCTGTGTCCAGAGAAAATGAGCATCCCTGGCTGGTGTTTCTGCAGACAGCACAGCACAAAAGGGGCGTCTCAGCAGCTCGTAGGACAGCAGTGTAAGAATCCAGCAAAATACCCGAGGACCTTCTGTGCTCCGCAAAAAGGCAACAGCGATGCCATGTTCCTGCTGACATGCTTCTGCCCACCAGCTGTCACTCCTGGCATGTCCTTCTTGTCACCTCCTAATTTAAATTCTGGGCAAATCTAAAGTGCTCTTCGGGCTTGACCACCAACTTCCTGAGCATCTATGTGAACAGGCCTCCGTCACTCCAAGCCACCTTTGTCGTCCCTGCTGCAGGACAGGCTCCTGTGTGGAGGAACAGACACCCAGTGCCCCCTTAACTTCTTCTCTGCTCTCTTACAGCTCACTCTGCAGAGCGCCAAGTCCCGAGTGGCTTTCTTTGAGGAGCTCTAGCAAGTGACCCAGCAGCTCCAGGATCTGCCACTTCTGTTGCTTCCAGCACCAGTGGGATGGTCCAGCTCCATGGGAACCATTCGCAGGGGGCTGGCTGGGGGCTCCCGTGGGAGCTCCGGGATTTTTCTCCATCCAAGTGGAGAGTCCAGCCCCGCTTCCTGTGCAATTGCCTTTGAACTATGACCCTGTAGAGATCTCTCTCATGGCGTTTTAGTCCTCCTGACTTGCATCTTTCTTTTCCTTCTTTTCTTTTTGAGAAATGTTTGTCTTTGTCTTATGTGGGGTCCTGTAATTCTGAGATCCCTGGCAGCTCAGTCTTGCTGCCCAGTGCCGACCTCCACGGCCCAGTCTGAGAAGCAGGGGCAGGGAGTGAAGTGCTGAGGCAGAGGCCCAGGAGGCTGGTCCCTAAGTCCACCCGCACTCCGCCCGGCGTCCCACCACGTCCACCCCAGGTGAGGACCGGACGCGCGGTGGAGAAGCACAGCCTGGCCGAGTCGAAGCCCAGAGTGGCCTGCCTGCTGCCCGTGCTCGGGGAGCTCACCTGAAGCTCAGGACCAGTGGTGATGGGTCCTCATCAGGGCACCCCGTGGTGGGGTTTCTGGGTTTGGCAACAGCTCGAGGCACAAGCTGTGATGTAGGCCCAGCAGCCAGCCGAGGGCCAGGAGTCAGATGGGGCGTTGGAGGGATCTTAACGGTACAGAGTGCTCACACCCTGCACCAGCCAAGCCAGCCCGGGGCCTGAGAGGCAGAGGGCAGCCACCTACATGTACTTCCACGCCGTCCCGCAGACGCCTTCGCCTGGGGCGTCTTAGAGTCTTAGACACATTAGCCTTACACTCCTGCTTGCAGTCGGCATGTTATGGGTGCCTAGAAACCTAGCTGTGACCAGGAGCTCCACAGGCTCCAAGGCCCAGCAGGCACTTCCTGTCTGGCCCCAATACCACCTGACCCCAGAACCCCATTCTGCTACTGACCCGAACCCTCTCCTGGCCATGTACCAGCAAGCCTTCCCCAAAGCCCTGTGCCTCATTTGCCATTGTCCTTGTCCCCCCGGAGGCCCTTTATTTTCTATCCTCTGAGAGCCCAGTAGGGTCCCTTTGGTCTCTCACAGTCAGACCCCGACACAGATGTCTCACAGCCGTAGTTCACAGAGGCTGGCACACAGCTGTGCTCCTTGAGGGATTCAGAGCACCTGAGGTTGCCAGCTACCTGGTGGCCTTTTCTTTTTCCCATGGCTGGGGTTGCTGCTATGGCCAGCCAGGATCCTAACAGAGGGTCAGAGGATCCTAAAAAAGGGCCATTATGTAGAGCAGGCGATGTGTCTTCATCAGCAAAAAGATTCTTATTAACTGAAGACAGCCTGGAGATCCCTTGAGAGCAGAGACCATCTCCAGAGGTTTTGTTTAGTTTTGACAAAGACATTCATGAAACCCTGCCTTATTCCCACTGCCAGGCTGGCCACCCCCTTCTTAGGTCAGCTTTTCCCTCAGAAGCCGGCCCTGCCTGCGACCCCAGCCCCTCAGGGCACGCGGGGTGGACTCGCTCTAACCTGAGCTGCGATGGCTGCCTCTGAAAGGGAGAGTCCGCAGGTCCTGAATCCTCAGC